ATGTCTTCTTCTTCTACAAGATTCTCTTGATAAAACCCCTTGGATATCCATTCTTCTGGAACATTCTGTATAGATGGTTTTCCTCCTTCTTCCGTAGTTCTGTGGTGCTGCAGTGTGTCTCCGCCCTCTTGAACAAGGTTTGGACGCAGCTCCTTTTGTGGTTTACTGGATGATTGCTGTTGTAGTTCAGTATTTGGTCCGTATGAGTCTCTTTGCGGTGTACGCAGGTTTCCAGAGTACCGTCCACCTTTCTGTTCACGAAGAGACTGGACCTTACCGTGGTGTGACGGTTTGCGCACCTCAGCGATCCATTGAGTTATACTGGAGAGTGTCCCGCGACACTCAGAGAGTCTCTCATACCAGGTTGGTCAATGGTTAGGGGTCTGACGAACACAGTCTCCTGGCCCTCCAGGTTGGGGTTGGAACATGTGGCGACTTGTTCTGTAGAAATGGTAATGCATTTGCATTTCCCGCCAAACACCGCTGCCTTGCGGTTAGGCTTTTGAGCCAAAGGCTTTGGTTGAGGACCCTAATCGTCCTCCTGTCTAGGTGTGGGCGCCCTGGCAGTATCCCAGCCCTCGTACAACCATGACCTACACAATTACGGCAGTGAAGCATCAGTGCCAACACTGATGTTGCTGTCATTGATTGATGATGATATGATTTGCCCAGAGGTGAGTGAGCTTTCCAGGGGACATTATTACTCACTGTGTGGGTGAGCTGTTGAGTGCTATCTAACCATTGTTCTCACTTCCGTGTCATTCCTATTGAACAAGGGATATCCAACAACTAAGACTGGATACAATGTCTTTTCCTACACTTGGAGCTTTTCAATGCATCCACGTCACAGCGTTTTTCAGTAGGCTCTGTTATCGCTGCGTAACAGCCGTGTAACCTCAGCAGAACCATACAGCTGGGGTCGTCATATTCATTACCTTCATCCATGGCATAAATATTCTTGATGTCATTTCAATCGTCTGTGCAGATGGTTTTGAAGGATGCATCGTTAGGAGGCACCTCATTTCATTTTACGTTTTTGCTTTCTAGGAGGTGATTACCAGTGAGCTGGCACATCACGGTGGCTACGCAGTCGTCACAACAATGGCTTCGGCACCTCCGAAAGAGATCTGTTACGCTTGCGGAAGTGGTGGTGGCCAGGTACGCTAGTCGTGTTCAATTCTGTGTGTTTCATAGCCTCATTGAACAATTCTCCATTTATTCAACTGAGTTACTATAAAGGAACTTCCACTGCCTTCATGTACCTTTCTACTTCTATCCGTTCTCTTTTACAGCTGCTTTTTTGTGTGTCTTGCGCCGAGCCATTCCACTTCTACTGTGTGGAACGACAGTTCCGGCCGCGTCGTAAGGATCATTTCATATGTCGGAACTGTACAGAATGCAAGGAGTGTCACAGTCCAGCAGCAGATCTCCGCTGCATACGTTGCTCTGGAGGCTACCATCCATCCTGTCTGTCGGATTATGCTCCAGCACAGTCGGGACACCGCGGGAACTGGGTGAGTACGCTCGAACCACTTCAACCGTTTGGTAATCTGGGATTAAATCTGGTCAGACAACTCATGCTTGGCTGCACGTGCATGCAGTGGAATCTACCCAGTCTTCTATATTTATGCTCTTCCCCGATGCTCTCAGTTACATACTTGTTGTTTATGAGTAACTCCGAGACCGTACGAGCTGGAGTGTAAGTGGAACCGGAACTGTATGACTATCCTTTCCCGCCACTTCCTATTTCAGATTTGCCCCCACTGTACTTCCTGCGTGCATTGCGGATCCAAGCCGTTACATAAACGGCAGGACGCAGGCACCGAAACCGGTAGACCACCCAATACGGGCGGATGTTCACGCTCGATGACAGCATGGTCTTCAGAGCCCAATAAATGCGCCGCTTGTTGTTCAGCCGAAGCTCGGGGCGATATATGTCCCGAGTGTGATCGTGCCTATCTGCCAACCACCAAGCAAATGATCCAGTGTGATACTTGTCAACTATGGATGCATCGCACTTGCACAAAACTTACAGGTGTGTTTTCGTTTCTCAGCAGTCAACCGTTCACCGTATGTTTGCTTGTCCATGATCCTGGAACACACAGACCTTTCGCCTTGTGCTTGGATTACGACAATTTTTACAGGCGACAGTTGGCTGATTTCGTGGTGTGCTTGCAGCAGTAATTTATTCTAGAAGATGGCTTTGTACATACGACCCCATGTGTTTGTCCGTTTTAAAGGTCTCCTGTGTGTCCCTTTATCTGTGGCACTGACTACATATTTTGACTAGGAAACCAAGGTTGTCTGTAGGTTCTGATAACTCTACGCCAAGTTTTTCGGTTGCATACACGCAGCGCAATGCCCTGTGCACGTCCCCGAAAACCCTAGTTATTCCACACAGTTGGCCTCTATCGCCTCAATTTGAAGTGTGGTGAAAGCTCCCTGCCGGATTGGGACTGTCAAATCAAACGCGTGATATTAAGAAGTGTCAGCAGGCGTATTGCGTGTCAGCGCATTATAGTCAGTAGCTAGACGATGAAGGCTGACCAAGCTTTTTAAGAATTAGAACACATTTTCCGTTTTTTTTCTCTCAAATCGTCGATCAAGGGAGCGATCCCGGAGCCAAACACTTTGGTCAGGCCTCCTTGATCAGTTTAACGAACTCATCACAGAATCTGACAGTTTACGAATGTCTGGAAAGTTCAACGGAGGACCTACGCTTCCGGCTTTACAGTGCTTCTCGACTTTTCAGCTCAAATAGACTTCACTTGCAGCACAAAATCTCGAGTGAGAAGCTTCCAAATGCCAATACACAGGCTCTTTTAGGATGCGAAATTCGATGACTGATCTGAAGTGATCTTACCAGGAAGGCCTCTTTTGCATCCGATTCGCTGTTATTTCAAGACTCAGTCTGTCCATTTGATGCGCAAAATTTTGTGCAAGCATGATCTGTGAAGCGGTTTTGTGTAAGCGTTGTCTGTATATTACCATGTGTTGCTGCCGTAAGATGGTGTGAACAGCACAGTAGCTCAATACACGGCAGTGTTGATATCTAGGCGCAAATGATGACTGCTCCAGGTGCCTTTCTCAAGACAGCCGTATGTTTTGTTGGCTTCAGTATTTTGTGTCTTAAGCTCACAGTCAATGTTAGGTCTGCGAATACCCCGTGTTCCATCAAAGTCCCAGATATCCGCAGATGACGCCATCTCACAGATGTTCGTTTGAATAATTTGGGTTTTCTGTTGAAACACCTGTGCACGACGCTACAAGCTTATGTCGAGTTCTACCCACCACAACCACAAGCCCTGCGTTATCGAACGCATTTGCATGATTAACATCTAGTTTAGGTTGGCCGTTTTTCCGCATGCCCATATATGTCCAGACTCACATTCTCGGATTCCGATGAGTGAGAAGGTCGAAAACCCATGTGAACCATCATCGTCGTTCAGCTGTAGTACCCTTCCGGTGCCTAGCTGCCATGCCACCCGAAGGGAGCACGAGGGCTGGGATACTGCCATGTTGCCCAAGTCTAGGCAGGGGAAGTCGAGAGGCAGAGGTCGGGTTCGAACCGTGGACCTTCCGGTCAGTAAATTCGCGCTCTAACCACTTCGGCCATCTCGTCCCATGGACACCACTTTTTTGTCATTTAGATGGGTAGCGTACGCCGGTTGAACAAAGAGACACGCAAGCACACGAAGATGGTTGCTTCAGCCGGTAGCAAACACGACACAGTGAAATGATGTACCGTGGGGTAGGTAGTGTGGAAATCGCACTGTATGTACACCAGAACTTCACTCTGGTTCACCAGACCTATTGAGTGTATGAACGTTCGATGGACCATCCAAACCCTAGTAAAGTTTTTTTACTCTGATCTAGAAGAGTTCGAAAAGGTTGAACGCCTGAGACAGGAAGTACTTTAGACTGAATTTGTGGACGAATCAATTGGGTTTGTCGTCGTGCAACTTTATTCATCGCCCAAAAACCTTTTCTCCATTTCACAGCGGATGAATATGAGTGGATTGCACGTCTTTCTCCGGGGCAGCTGAACAAGTTCGTTGTGAACTGTAAGGTTTGTCAGAATGAGTTGAACCAACGAAACAGAACCGACGAGACACAAGGACAGAATACTAGTACGTCAAACGAACTGACTCAACGTAACCTTGGTGATACAGACAAGCTACAAGCATTGGCACATGACACATTACTGGAGCGCATGGCCGATTTAGTTACTAGCTGCTGCCGATCGTCCGTTACGGACTCCTCCTCGTCCACGTGTACCCCTCCTCCTCCTCCTCCATCTGCTATGCATACCAGCCCACACCAATCTACGGTGCTCTCACCCACAGTGTTCCCTCCAAAGAAACCATCTACTGCTCCGGATTCTCGCATCCCTCGCATACCCCAGGTAAAATTTCTTACTTCATCCCCGCCTAGTGGGTGAAAAAAAACAGTTTTCACTGTCTGTTCACCAGGTCCACCAAAGGGAACTGACATTTATTATTATTATTTTTTGGGTGTTTTAGGTAGATGGAATCGTGGACGAGGATTCTGATGACGGCGCTAGCCCTCTTCTTCAATCCGAAGGCTCCACGTACATGCATATTGGTGCACACGCATCTGATGTTCTGTTCTACGAACAAAATCCTCAACCTCTGTCAGACGCTAGTTCTTTTTGTCCTCTCGATACATTTGGGAAGCCCCGTAGAGGACCACCAAACTTCATAAGAAAAGACAAGTGCAGGACCGAACGATTGCGCTCTTCTTCAGGTAGCTCGTATGTTGCTTCATCTGCTCGCCTAACTCCACCTCCGATCTGCGCTAATTGGGTTACTGAGAGTGAAGTACAACGTGCTTGGACCACACCGGTACGCTGAGGCACTCTTTATTAGACCTGCTACATTCATTTCTTTTACTGTCTATTCAATATTTTTGAGACGTATCGTGTCTGGTGCGTGTAATACAGCCTTATCCGTATGAACTGTCATCGAAATCCTGCCAGTAAAGTACTTTTGGGTCAGTCATCCATACTACTTATTGTCTCCTTTGGCGAGATGGCTCAGTGGTTAGAGCGCGAATTTACTAACCGGAAGGCTCGTAGTTCGAACCCGACCAATGTATCTCGACTTCCCCTGTCTAGGCTTGAGCAGCCTGGCAGTATCCCAGCCCTCGTACTTCCTTGTGGTGGCATGGCAGTCAGGCACCGAAAGGGTGCTTCAGCTGAACGATTGCTCTTTTTCGAAGAAAAGCTCCTCAGTTAAACGCACACGGCTAACAGCACATATGGGAGAGAGGGCGAGATGGCCCAAGTGGTTAGAGCGCGAATTTACTGACCGGAAGGTCCGTGGTTCGAACCCGACCTCTGCCACTCGACTTCCCCTGTCTAGGCTTGGGCGACCTGACAGTATCCCAGCCCTCGTGCCTCCTTCGTGTGGCATGGCAGCTAGGCACCGAAAGGGTTCTACAGCTGAACGACTTACTTACATATGGGAGAATGGGTTTCGGAAGTCATGCCTACTCAGTTCCGAGTCTGTATGGTATGCTTGCGCAGGCCAGGTTGGTATGTGAGCACGAGGAGAATCTCATCAGCCGAAACCTTTATATTTTCGTAATGCTCTCTCACCATCTTGTTACCGACCTGTCGTCGGTTCAGTTTCATAGCCTTTTTCTTCATTTCAAATGAGATTCTTGGACCTCAACTTCAAGTGCATCGATTCAAAGAATAAGGTTCGGAACTTGGTCAGGTTATTCGTTGACCTCACCGAGGCGACACCACTGTTAAGGTCGAAGAAAAATCTTGGAGAGCCCGCAACCGGTTCGTCCCTTTCTATAATCCAGATAGGCCGAATTTGTAAAATTCTGTCAATTTTATTTCGTACTTGAACGGTATAAACTCCCTGATATCCTGAATATCATCCAAAATGAAATACTCAGGTTCCTTGTTCAACACATTCAGTTGAAATATGCTGTCACTTTGCGTTTCACTTTACGCGAGTACCGATCTCCGCATACAAAAAATTCACTTTTCAGGTAGGTTTATAGGAATTCATCAATTAGGTCTACCTAATGGATCTTAAAAATGGCCAGACCCTGCAGTCAGCATCATGTCAAGGGAAATACTTTGGTCATTCTAATGGGGTGGCGCTTGTGCAGCACATTCATTTGGATGGGAGTGCATAGACGAGAGATCCACTTGAATCCCTCGTCGGTTCCATCTCAATCTGCCATCACCACACAGCTGTCGACTTATTTGAACAAGCTCACTACTGCTGTCAGTATCTATATGGTCATGTGAAGGTTTTATCAGGCTGGCTAATCCTCACAATGAGAACCATTTCGGGGTTCTGAATAAACGCGATATGGTAGACAGGTTACCACTACATCTTTGAAAACAATAAGTTATGCCAAACAAATAGTTGTCTGCATGTTTAAGACTCAGGTGACCATTACGTTCGTCGCTTCAAGTACAATGCCTTGTCGCTTCTTTTTTCAGCGCTCTTTGATATATCGGATTTTGACTCGAATCTTACATCGCCTCGCGGCCCATCCCATCAATTCCCCTCATGCGGTTGCTCTCCGTCAGCTCCTTCGTTGGCTGTCGTGCACTATCGAATCGCTGTTTCCGTGGTTGATTGTCAGTGAGATGGCCAATGACGGTGGGTCCGCACTCTGTTTTATCCGTGTTAACATTTTTGGCGTGAACTCTCTCCCTTTGATCTAATGCTGTAGTAAAGTACCTTCGGATTATTCCTTGTGAGCGCCCAAACGTTTATGAACTATGAACGAATTTACTGACCGAAAGGTCCATGGTTCGAATCCGACCTCTGTCTCGCGAATTCCCCTGTCTTGGCTTGGGTAACCCGGCAGTATCCCAGCCCCCGTGCTTTGTTCGGGTAACATGGCAGTTAGTCATTAAAAGGATGCTTCAGCTAGATGGAACTGAATGTCAGCTCTTTCAAATTTCTTTTAAACATAACAAAAACTTTGATTGAGGGTAGTGGTATTTTCCCTTCCATGTTGAGGAAATATGTCACTTGTGAGACGTAAGAGGTGTGCGATGCCGTGTCGAGTCATCTAGGATTCTGATACCGCCATCAGTATAGTTCGTTATACGATCTTTTGAAGACGACAAAATTGAAGAGGCTATTGCATTACACGAGGGTCGACAAAAGACAGTAGAGACGTGATGTAATTCCTGACTCTTATCGTTGTTAGGTACTCTGATACTCAGTAAACAGTTCAGTTAGATGACCCCATCTATTGAGTCAGCGGCCCCTTGAATATCGATGAGCGCCACGCGCGTAAGCCTGCGATAGGTGTGTCCCTATTTTATTAACTGATGGCTTAGTTGAAGGCTTGATCTATACGTTCGCTTCTTGAACTGAACCGAATCTTGCAAGCTTAGTATATAATCTGTGTAAAAGCACGAACGCCGCGATCTTTGATACGGCGGGGGGCATACTAGACTCCTGTTAGTTACTACAAGCGCGGTGCTAAGGGAAAATACTATCCAATAGAAATCCAGTTACCTCGCCCCCGAAAACTTCACCTCAATTTTCAATAACCATCAGATCCACGTGTAAGTTTTATGAGTTTGATGTTTGTTTGTTATCGTGACTTGTGTGCTTGTAGACTTCCGTTGAAAATCCTCCAGGAACCAGATGTGGTGTTCAGTATGCTCACCTGATTCGTGAGAAAGTGATCTTTACGGTGGTCTGAAAAGCAAGAAACTGATGGTATGGCAAAATTTTTTCGCATTAACCAATGGAGCAGTACGTACAATGGAGTTCACCGTACACCTAGCAATATGGTGTGCAGCGCATAACTATTATCTGTACGGGGTTGCATCAACTCCGAATCTACTTAGTTCAGCCAAGCTGGGTGTTCATTTTGACCAATTGTGCTTCTTTTTGACCAAAGCAATCATGAGAATCTCCGTGAGACGCATCCTTTTCTCTTCGGGACCGTAGTCTTTTGGGATGCTTGCTGACGAGACAATTAGGCATCACATTCCGGGTTGGGTTGCGTCAATACTAATGGAGCCTGTCTACCGTACAGCGCAAAGACTGGTTAGAATCTTTTCCTGAAGCTGAACATAACTTTGCGCCATCGGTTCCGTGAGCTACTCCATCAGAATCGCTAGTTTCACATCCTAGCGATTTAGGTGCATAGTCGAACTGGGATTTCCGATGCGTATTTCGGGAACAGCATATCGCGCAAGAGTACCTGTTGTCCAATTTAAGGATTATGCATCTCCGACGCCTTAATGTGAATTAGATATTCTTGGTTTAGCAAAAAAAGTATTTGGTTCATTTCGCTTGGTCGTACCGGCTGGCTGAATGGGCCAGAGCGAACCGTTCACGTGATGGAAAAGGGTTTTATATCGTTGGACAAAGAGCTTCGAAGGAGGAAGGTAGGTGCCTAAGCCGATGAGTGGAGCTTGTTCGAGGTGCCCCATCCTGAACTTTCGACCCATAAATCTGACCCAATGGAAGGTCAGAGGACACAGGATCTTGTTCCGAAATCATGACCGCAAGGCAGCAGATGGTAGAGATAGTTTGATAAAACCCTGCTTAGAGTCAGCCTCTTGGTAGTCTGTTCACTTGATCTTGAACTGGGATGCAAAGAGTCGGGCACATACGTGTCCTTTCTGATGATGCAGATGCGTTTAGAGCCGTATTGATCAACGGTCGCAGTCAACCTTATGAGGATCGGACTATTTTGCTTTGCACGTCAAACTGTGCATTTAAATCTCGAGCTAGCACGGTTATGTCCTTGCCGAAAATTCCGACGTAAAACTTTGTGCAGCTGTTGGTATTGTCTGTGTTGAATTTTTAAGGGCATGATCACGAGCAAACGAGGAACATTTCCCTCTTCGCCTTCTGTCAGTTTCACACAGAGGTATTCTTATAACAGAACTGACTCTCAACCGACAGTAGTGCAGCTTTGGATCTACCTCTCAGTGCTTGGTTGTCATTATGGTGATATTTCATAGCCATCAGCTAGACGGTAATGTAACACTCTTGCAGTGAGACCGTTTAGCATAATGGACGGGCTTTACTTTTGGTTTCCTGTAAACGAGGGTGTATGCACGTGTTATTCTGGACACATCGGCATCTGGACATTAAGTGCCGGTAGTCTGAGCAGTGTGGGGGGCGGAACGGTAATACTGCCAACCGATGTCAGTGGCGTTCTTGTTGTCAGTTTCTATCCAGATTGCCTGAGTGAATGTCTGGAGGTGTAGGAACCTCGGAATGATTGTGTTAAGCTAGCACTAAGTCCCTCCCCCATCCACCTTTATTCTTTTCTTTACAATAAGGCTTTCAAATAAGTCATGGTTGTACGGCAGTGAAGCATCGGTATTAAGCACTGATGTCATGCTGTCGTTGATGATGATGCTGATGAACGGTAATACAGTCTTTTAGGAGCCATCTGTGCCACACTCCAAGCCGGTGGCATTCATTAAATTGTATCACTTGAGCAGTGACTATTAAGAGGGTAATGTTAGCGAGCCCAGTGTATTTGGAATTTTTTTAAGAATACGCGTAGGCAAGCAGCGCCTATGGTTTCGTGTTTTTTCTAAGAATTATACAACCTGGTAATCTGGTTACCGAAGACCAATGAGCGACCACATAGAGACTACATGCGCGTAAGCTACGAACTATACTTCTCCGCTAGTGAATGTCTGGAGGTGTAGGCACCTCGGAATGATTGTGTTAAGCTAGCACTAAGTCCCTCCCCCATCCACCTTTATTCTTTTCTTTACAATAAGGCTTTCAAATAAGTCATGGTTGTACGGCAGTGAAGCATCGGTATTAAGCACTGATGTCATGCTGTCGTTGATGATGATGCTGATGAACGGTAATACAGTCTTTTAGGAGCCATCTGTGCCACACTCCAAGCCGGTGGCATTCATTAAATTGTATCACTTGAGCAGTGACTATTAAGAGGGTAATGTTAGCGAGCCCAGTGTATTTGGAATTTTTTTAAGAATACGCGTAGGCAAGCAGCGCCTATGGTTTCGTGTTTTTTCTAAGAATTATACAACCTGGTAATCTGGTTACCGAAGAGAAGACCAATACCACATAGAGACTACATGCGCGTAAGCTACGAACTATACTTCTCCGCTAGTACCTCATACATCCCAGTACAACTGGCTGTGCTGTGGACTTGGTCCGATGGCGGGTTAGAGTTGAGTAAACCAATAACCACAATCAGCCCTCTGTTTCTTGTACCTCTACTATTGACGGGCCATGAAGTTACCGATTCGTTGGGCTTATGATTTTCCTCGGGATCATCGACACAGGCTGAAACGGGTCTATACTTCTCTCGTTTTGTTATATGAGACTTAGATGAATTCGCCAGCTACCATTTCCGCTTTCCCCTGTGTGTTGTTTATCGTCCACTGTTCAACCATGTATCCATGTGATTATTTCGTGGGATGTTTCTTCACGTTTACTTTCAGTTCGCGATCTTCTCCAACAAACTGGCAGTGAGCTTACGGCCGTGTTAAGGCACTTCGAAAAGTGCGCACTCATCGAACTTTATGAACTCATGTGTCCCATCGCTGCTCGCATGAGTGACGCACAGATACACTCCTCGATGTGCGCTTCGAAATCCTGGCAACGTGTCTGGAATAGCGTATCTCTCGTGCAAAACTGTTTTTCAACCGTATCCCACCATATCAAAACCCATCATCCGGATTCGATGTCTTTACCTCAGAAACTTCCTCCGAAATTTTTGGAAGCAAGGCACCTACTCGCTGCGAAAGCTGCTCTTGCACGACTCTCATCCAGTCACTGTTACAGACCGCACGAGTTGGAGGCAATGGAAAGGATGCGTAATGAAGCTCGTGAAGAACGCTGGGTGGAACATTGGTCGGCAATCGAAGAGCAGTGTAGGTTCATCTTTCTTTTTTCTCTGCTCAGTAAAATCCACGTTTATTTTTTACTTCTTCTGCCCACCATCAGGACGAAATTCTGACATTGCGGCACATGCTCTTCTCTTATTTCGTACTAGTGGTGCTGAAAAATTTTCAACGTCACTTACTGCGAGATTGTCCGTCTGGAAAACCAAATCCGACTGTTGTGGACCTCGGTGATCACCAATTGCCACAGACCACGGATCCAGATAGCCTAACGGTAAAACCCCCTGAGTCGGGCATGAATGAAAAAACTATATGTCCTGCCGTTGAGAACACCCATTTCTGTGAAACGTCAGAAAAGCATCCCGATTCTTCTGATGCACCTATTTCCGAAAATGCTGCCATGGAACCCATTGTAAATGGTCCCACCAAACAACCTCCAGTCGTTCCTGATGACCCACGTAGCGATCAATTCTATTTCGCGCTTGAGGACTGTTGGTCAACTGCGCCGAACGGTTCCTGTGACGCCGATAGTTCGGATGAGGATGTACGATCTTGTCTTTTATGTGGTCGTCACGGTGATGACAACATTGAAGGGCGTTTGCTCTTCACCGGTGCCGATACTTGGGTACGTAACTGATCATATCGTCCATTACAATCGTGGACACCGGTACTTTAACCGGACTTGTAGGCTAGTTTTCACTTTATCTCGTTTTTCCACCTGATGAGTGTCTTATATGAAACTTGTTGTGCTGTATTTGTTGTCTTGAGTTCGAGGTGGCTCAGCGTTTAAAGTGCGAATTAACTGACCGGAAGGTCCGTGATTCGAGCGCAACCTCTGTATCTTGATTGCTCCTGTCAAGGCTTGGGCAACCTGGTTGTATCTCAGCCCTCGTGCTTCCCTGGGGTGGCATGGCAGCTTGAAAGGGTGCTACAGCTGGACGATTATTATTGTGTTGTTTGTGCCACTCACCATGGAACGATTCGATTCCAAATGAATCCGTTTTTGTTTATGATGTGTATCAGACTGCTTAGATTATCATCAGGGGGGCATCTATTGATTTCGGTCTTGCAGAACTAGCCACCAAGCTGGAAATTAGGCATGGATTTCGGTTCAGATGGCTGTTGCGATGGAACAATCTGACTGCTTGTGGATGGTCAAACTTCCCACTTTTGGCTTGTCGGTAATCAATGCTTGTAGCAAAATTCATAATTATCAGGCCTCGTCAATATATGTCCAAGCAGCTCAGTTTTCGTTTTCCGGACACTTTGACAAATTTTGAGAGCTTTACGGATTTTCAAACAAATTGGAACATTGCCAACTGGTTTATTGCTAGCCGGGATGTTCGCATCTCCCTGGAGTTTTGTGAGATGCGCACTGTTGATGATACTGAATAAGGATGAAGCAACTATACAGCGATTCAAGTTTTCTCGGCATAGACTAGCTTTGCACACATCACTGAGTTATCCACTACGAGCGAACCTTTTTTCCTTTCTGTTTCCAGGTTCATGTCAACTGTGCTCTATGGAGTAATGAGGTTTTCGAGGAGGAAACTGGCCAACTCGTCGGATTGTCAGATGCATTACGTCGGGGGCGTGAAAGTGTTTGCCTTGATTGTGGTCAGTATGGAGCCACATTGCTTTGTTCAAACTCTCACGAGCCCATGTGCACTTTATATATGCAACGATGGTTAGCCCCTGGCGACAGTGATTCCCCCTCCAAAATCGATGTCGAGATGCAAAAGTCTGTGCACTTTGCTTGTGCTCTTCGAAGACGCCCCCCTGCTCCACGATCTATTTTCACGGCGGACCGTTCGTGGTTTTGTTCCCCGGAGTGTCACCAGGCTGCCATTCGACAAAGACTGACGGATGCGATCCAGTCTAGGAAGGATCAACAGCATCATAAATCTAGCAAATCGTTTGATGCCCAGTTGGACTGTACTACGGATGAAGAAACACTCACCAAAGGAGAGTATGCTATGCTTGAGAATACTGTGGCGGATGACTTGGAGGTAAATTCTCCTGTCTGGTGTTGTCTTGCTTCCCGACGTTTAGCCAGGCAATCGCCTGGCCAACTTATAGGAATCTTTGTATTCAGCGCATGTTTTGTTTGTACAACTGAATTTCAGCTTATGACTGGAGCGAAGTTTGGAACGACCAAAATAGCTGCAAACCCTGCTGTTCATGGGTGCTGCTGTCAAGTCGACCCCAGGGTCGTCTGTGCCGTGAAGGGGTTGAACCTTACATGTTGCTCAATTTCGTCTACACAGATGACAATCATCTATGTATGGAGATAGTCACTGAGATTCCGCAAGTTCTTTTGCTCCTTGGTCGGTCAACAAATACAGTCACCTGTTTCTCCATTTTTTCAGAACATGTACGACGACTTATCGTCCAGATGTTCGACTATGGTAGTCTTATACCCGCCACCGCTACTTTGCGGTTGGTTTGTCGGGTTGAATGCTTCGGCTTTAGACGCTAATCGTTCTGCTTTAGGTTTGGGTTCCATGACAGGGGCTAATGTGACTATCAGGTGCGTCAATAGAACTATATCATGCCTCATCGACCGTTACGGGGTGCCTTGTTCGCTGCATACGGCAGGATGCATGGTGTTTTGAGTCCAACCATAATATTCAGATTTGTTCAACTCGATTGAATATAAAGATCCATGCACTGTTGTTTAAGTTGACCAGGGTGGCTGTATTTCTCTACTATTTACTACCCTTCGGATTAGTTTGTTTCAAACCTGTGTTCTAACTCTTTCCACAGCCCATCAGCTTGGGTGAACTGCTTGTTTGCCGCCGCGTTTTCGCTCCATCCGACTGCTTCGCGATGTCTCTGCTTCCACCTACCTTTCACCGACAACCTAACCTCTCTACGTTTCCTGATGACAATCCGGGACTTTTAAGGATTGCACGAAGAGCCCTTTCCAATTTGTCTGCATCCCCAAACTCTATGGCTTTCCTGCAATGCACTGGTTTACCCGCTGCTAGTCTAGTCATCACCATCGGATCCTTACGAGTAGATAGACTTGGCGAGGTTAGGGAGGCTTCTGACTCTTTGGCTGTTACGAAACGCTCTTCATCACCGGAACTCTGTTCACTGGGTAGTCATCTTTGTCCCGTCAACTACCGGTAAGTGTCGTGTTTGTTCAAACTTAACTCTCCTAGTCTGCGGAATTGAATTTTGTGTGATCAATGGCAGTGCAGTAGAGGGTACCCCCAACAGACATAATGTTCTCTTTTGTAATAAGTCGTTTTCTCAAGGTCCATAGCCCGCTTCTCGCCTTTTTTCAAGTTATCTGTTGACTAGTAGTAGGTCAAACCCGTCAGAATAACATTTGGCTTGTGCTCCCTCCCAAAGATGAACGCCCTTCGCACCTTATCGAATATACACTCCTTTGCAAACTAATTTGGTTTTGCGAGAAACTCACCTGGAACCCAGCTGAATCCCTCGTTTGTGATGTTCTCAGGCAACTGAATGTGCTGCACCAGGCCGCCTCATGTTTCAGTCGCTACGATATTCGAGATGTCGCGATACATGTATATCTTTGTAATGTGCTACTCATAAGGTTGCTGAAAATTTGTCGCATCTGTTCGGGGTGCTAAATTTCTGTTCACTCAGAAACAGGGGAATCATGCCGAAATATATCGGTATGGTAGCTGACAGGCTTTCATCCGGGAGTCTGTTAGCATCAAGGCCTGTGAGGTTAATTTTTTTTGCTGAACGGCTAAAGCCTCCATAACTTGTGCAGCCGAAGCTTAGGGCGTTGAGTTACTATTCGGAAGTTTTGGGGTTAAACGTTTTTGCGGGAGACTATTACTCATGTTTCTTCTTGATAGTATGCGTTCCACTCCCATAGTCGGTGTATGCGCAGTAGTATTTTCAAGCAAATCACTCTGTGCACTTATTCTAACACAGTATCCGACGTTGGCATCCGCAACTTTCATCTTTGTAAAAACACTTAGCTCCGTGAACCAGTGAAATCATATGTATCTCCTTCCGTCTACTCCATATTGTTTGTTTTTCTCCGAAAAACTTAACTAAATGAATGGTGCATGGTGTCACAGGTTAAAACTGTTGAAATCCTCAGAATCAAATAGGTACTAAGTATAGAAAACAAATGCAGACCTAAGATTGTGGGGATTCCTCCCTCATTCGTTGCACAGATTGATGCAAGTTCAAAAAAGCTTTGTCGAAGACGCTATAGAAACAACATACCCAGAGTAAACAACAACTCAACATGATTTAGCGACAAAGATGCGCGCACAACGCGTAATAACGCAATTGATCAAGTTGATGATACTGAATAAGGATGAAACAACTATACAGCGATTCAAGTTTTCTCGGCATAGACTAGCTTTGCACACATCACTGAGTTATCCACTACGAGCGAACCTTTTTTCCTTTCTGTTTCCAGGTTCATGTCAACTGTGCTCTATGGAGTAATGAGGTTTTCGAGGAGGAAACTGGCCAACTCGTCGGATTGTCAGATGCATTACGTCGGGGGCGTGAAAGTGTTTGCCTTGATTGTGGTCAGTATGGAGCCACATTGCTTTGTTCAAACTCTCACGAGCCCATGTGCACTTTATATATGCAACGATGGTTAGCCCCTGGCGACAGTGATTCCCCCTCCAAAATCGATGTCGAGATGCAAAAGTCTGTGCACTTTGCTTGTGCTCTTCGAAGACGCCCCCCTGCTCCACGATCTATTTTCACGGCGGACCGTTCGTGGTTTTGTTCCCCGGAGTGTCACCAGGCTGCCATTCGACAAAGACTGACGGATGCGATCCAGTCTAGGAAGGATCAACAGCATCATAAATCTAGCAAATCGTTTGATGCCCAGTTGGACTGTACTACGGATGAAGAAACACTCACCAAAGGAGAGTATGCTATGCTTGAGAATACTGTGGCGGATGACTTGGAGGTAAATTCTCCTGTCTGGTGTTGTCTTGCTTCCCGACGTTTAGCCAGGCAATCGCCTGGCCAACTTATAGGAATCTTTGTATTCAGCGCATGTTTTGTTTGTACAACTGAATTTCAGCTTATGACTGGAGCGAAGTTTGGAACGACCAAAATAGCTGCAAACCCTGCTGTTCATGGGTGCTGCTGTCAAGTCGACCCCAGGGTCGTCTGTGCCGTGAAGGGGTTGAACCTTACATGTTGCTCAATTTCGTCTACACAGATGACAATCATCTATGTATGGAGATAGTCACTGAGATTCCGCAAGTTCTTTTGCTCCTTGGTCGGTCAACAAATACAGTCACCTGTTTCTCCATTTTTTCAGAACATGTACGACGACTTATCGTCCAGATGTTCGACTATGGTAGTCTTATACCCGCCACCGCTACTTTGCGGTTGGTTTGTCGGGTTGAATGCTTCGGCTTTAGACGCTAATCGTTCTGCTTTAGGTTTGGGTTCCATGACAGGGGCTAATGTGACTATCAGGTGCGTCAATAGAACTATATCATGCCTCATCGGCCGTTACGGGGTGCCTTGTTCGCTGCATACGGCAGGATGCATGGTGTTTTGAGTCCAACCATAATATTCAGATTTGTTCAACTCGATTGAATATAAAGATCCATGCACTGTTGTTTAAGTTGACCAGGGTGGCTATATTTCTCTACTATTTACTACCCTTCGGATTAGTTGTTTCAAACCTGTGTTCTAACTCTTTCCACAGCCCATCAGCTTGGGTGAACTGCTTGTTTGCCGCCGCGTTTTCGCTCCATCCGACTGCTTCGCGATGTCTCTGCTTCCACCTACCTTTCACCGACAACCTAACCTCTCTACGTTTCCTGATGACAATCCGGGACTTTTAAGGATTGCACGAAGAGCCCTTTCCAATTTGTCTGCATCCCCAAACTCTATGGCTTTCCTGCAATGCACTGGTTTACCCGCTGCTAGTCTAGTCATCACCATCGGATCCTTACGAGTAGATAGACTTGGCGAGGTTAGGGAGGCTTCTGACTCATTGGCTGTTACAAAACGCTCTTCATCACCGGAACTCTGTTCACTGGGTAGTCATCTTTGTCCCATCAACTACCGGTAAGTGTCGTGTTTGTTCAAACTTAACTCTCTTAGTCTGCGGAATTGAATTTTGTGTGATCAATGGCAGTGCAGTAGAGGGTACCCCCAACAGACATAATGTTCTCTTTTGTAATAAGTCGTTTTCTCAAGGTCCATAGCCCGCTTCTCGCCTTTTTTCAAGTTATCTTTTGACTACTAGTAGGTCAAACCCGTCAGAATAACATTTGGCTTGTGCTCCCTCCCAAAGATGAACGCCCTTCGCACCTTATCGAATATACACTCCTTTGCAAACTAATTTGGTTTTGCGAGAAACTCACCTGGAACCCAGCTGAATCCCTCGTTTGTGATGTTCTCAGGCAACTGAATGTGCTGCACCAGGCCGCCTCATGTTTCAGTCGCTACGATATTCGAGATGTCGCGATACATGTATATCTTTGTAATGTGCTACTCATAAGGTTGCTGAAAATTTGTCGCATCTGTTCGGTGTGCTAAATTTCTGTTCACTCGGAAACAGGGGTATCATGCCGAAATATATCGGTATGGTAGCTGACAGGCCTTCATCCGGGAGTCTGTTAGCATCAAGGCCTGTGAGGTTAATTTTTTTTGCTGAACTGCTAAAGCCTCCATAACTTGTGCAGCCGAAGCTTAGGGCGTTGAGTTACTATTCGGAAGTTTTGGGGTTAAACGTTTTTGCGGGAGACTATTACTCATGTTTCTTCTTGATAGTATGCGTTCCACTCCCATAGTCGGTGTATGCGCAGTAGTATTTTCAAGCAAATCACTCTGTGCACTTATTCTAACACAATATCCGACGTTCGCATCCGCAACTTTCATCTTTGTAAAAACACTTAGCTCCGTGAACCAGTGAAATCATATGTATCTCCTTCCGTCTACTCCATATTGTTTGTTTTTCTCCGAAAAACTTAACTAAATGAATGGTGCATGGTGTCACAGGTTAAAACTGTTGAAATCCTCAGAATCAAATAGGTACTAAGTATAGAAAACAAATGCAGACCTAAGATTGTGGGGATTCCTCCCTCATTCGTTGCACAGATTGATGCAAGTTCAAAAAGCTGTGTCGAAGACGCTATAGAAACAACATACCCAGAGTAAACAACAACTCAACATGATTTAGCGACAAAGATGCGCGCACAACGCGTAATAACGCAATTGATCAAAAAGCACACATAGGAAGTTCGGAAAAATTCGCCCACTGGGTCAAAGGTCAAAAGTTCATGTGGGATTAGGGGGGCGCATATTGGATATGCGAGACAGGCCTAACGTGTTGGTTCCAAACAGAAAGGTCGAAAGATGATGGCCGAAAGAGGGAGCAACCAGATTGAGATTATCCGCTTGTTAACCTCGACATTTGGTATCGGCTTTTCAAAGCTGGACTCCACATTTTCCGCTGATGATGTACCATGGGATATACTCAAGATCACCAGTTCATATTCCCTATGAATCAAGTGGGTAACTGAAGCTCAGCAACCTCGTTTTCATTTCCTGTGGTATCTGTAGCCTTATCAGAAAGTGAACTTTTTGCGTAATGTTCAAGAGCGGATCAGTGACGAACGACACTGACTTCGAAAAACCCTTGTGAGAAAGAGCCTGGACGACCATAAAGTTATGATGAAACAGACATTCTGTGGACATACGGATGAAGCAATATTTGATGGATCAAAGTGTTTGTTGTTTTGGAGTTTCGCATCTTTTGGTGTGTAACTTTTTAAGATGCTTAGAATCGATGCGCTTCCTAATCGCTGCTGGCCCGGTTCTCTGAGCGCAGTGCATCGTACGCGTAGTCTGATGTGCTCCTTCGTTTTGGCAACTTTGTATATGGGTCATCTTTTTTTACGTGGGCAGATATTCGACTGCTGAGAATCCGGTTTCAGCACAACTTAGTGCGCAAAGTTCCTTCCATCCTCGGCACACTTCATGCCCTTCTTTCAACCAATCAACTCTAGACAAAGCTGACACTTCTGAAGTATCTGCGTCGGACAGCTCGCAACGTATATTGCTGCGAGTCTCGGCAATTTGGGGACCGCGAAGAGTATGAAACACAAGGAATATTCACAGACTCATGTGGTTGTGAAGGGCGATGAAAAACAGTATTCTTAGTGCAGCGACTAAAAGTGAATAGGCGATTGTCACGAGCGAACAAGGGATGCGTATTCAGAACAGTACCTGATCCGATGAAACAAACAAAAGTGTTCGAGATGTCTGCAACGACTCATGGTTATTTCACTGACATTTACCAGGCATTTGTAGTGGCTCAGTGGATACGTGTATAATTCGTCTGGGATGTTGTAACGAGCACATGTTTTATGCATCTGTGCTCACCATGGAAGAAGGACAATGATCATTTCGAAAAGACAGAACACTAGCTATGTTCATGAATATATGTTTATGGAACAATATGTGTCTCAGTTTCAGAACGGCTAAAGCAGATAGGACGTATGCATGCGTAAATATGACGCCGTTCGGGAAGATGAATTCTCAAAAACCCACCTTATCAGTGCTTGGGGATCACCGTTGATCTTGCGACCACTCATCCGATTATTCTCGACCCTCTCGCTACTTGTTTTATTGACTCTAGATGAACCCTTCATTATTCAGCACCCATGATCAACTGACAGTACGCATCGAAGTACGCCCATGTATGGTCCGTGTTTGAAAAAAACTCATGTCTTTCTTTCCTGTTCATTCATAGCGCCCGGCGTATTTTCTGGAGCTGCTTCAAGCTAGATGACCGTATCCCATATACTCTACACATCCGGCAAACACACGCAGTAAACAGTCATGTGTCGTCCGCATCCCCGTCAGCACCGTCTCTTCCCCCGCCAACTAGTACGGAACCGTCTTCGCTCAACCTCAAAAACACCCCTGCTGTACTGACAACCACGTTACCCAAGTTGATTAAGCACATTTCGCCGTTGCCCGTTTCATCCAACCCGACTTCTCCTCATCCATCCGCTGGTATACGGTGCACAAATGGATTTTCTGGTTCAACACGATTCACTCAGTCATTCAACGTTGTCTGTTCAGTCGGTTCCCACAAACCTGCCCATCACCCAGCAATTCTACGACCAAGTTCATCGGCCAGGATAGCCACAGTTTCCCAGACTGTTTCGTCAGTTGCCAATCAGGCTGTCACCAATACTGCTTCGTTGGTTGTTTCTAAAACTTCTTTGGATGCAGTACGTTGCACGGCTGATACAAAGTCACAACCCCTGAAGATAATCAATGCTGGTACGTTTCTATCATCTGTGTTTTCAGTGTCCCATTTCCCAATTGTATGTGATAACTTATGCAAGTTTTTTTATTGATTCAGTGTCACTATCTACCACGGTCTTTTATTGATCAGTGTCACTATCTACCACGGTCCAGAATGAGCCACGGAAACAGAATTTACCATCAGGACATCAACTAGTGAAGTCGTTGGTGTCAGTCGACTGTTCCTCGTCTCCTGCTGAGAAGAGTAACAATTCAGGTATGTATTTAAAACTAACAAAATTGACGTGTTCTCTGTCCTTGAAGCGGCACGCACTACGCAGCAGTGCCGGTATCATGTCTCACATCTCAAGTGCGTCTCTTTTCGCTATTTCCTTATCCCTGATTAAGAAGTACAATGTTCCCCTCGAACAAAGCATACCTGGGAAACCGTGCGAAATCGCGCAGTTCTGGGAACTGTATTCCCTTGCAGGGCACCTCTTTTGAGCCTTAAATTTTGCACACATCCACCACTCCAACCGGTATAACTTTTCACATTTCAGGGGCGAGATGGCTCAAGTGGTTAGAGCGCGAATCTACTAACTGCAAGGTCCGTGGTTCGAACCCGACCTCTGCCTCTCGACTTCCCCTGTCTAGGCTTGGGCAACCTGGCAGTATCCCAGCCCTTGTGCTTCCTTCGGGTGGCATGGCAGCTAGGCACCGTAAGGGTGCTACAGCTAAACGCTTGCTTTTCTTTCTTTCTTTCGTACACATTTCAGGGGGTTACCATTTTAAATTGCTGGAAATAATACTGCGTATCTTTACTGCGTGATACGGAAATGAAACCGAACAAACGAATGAGAAACACAGAACGCTTTTGCTGTATGCGTTTGTCTAGTTTGTTATGCTTTCGATGCCAGATTAATATTCGCTTTTTACTCGGTGGTTTGGGGAATTCTACGCAACCACCACTGTCGTTGACAGGAAGCTGTTTGTTCGTCATCTCTGGCGAAGTTTCAGGTGAGGATTTCAACTGGTTTGTAGAGGAACCTAGTGAAAATATGTACGGTAAAATTATCACCTCGGGACTAGTTAATGTGCTCATAAACCAACGGCGAATTGCTGCCAAATACTCATATCTTAGCGCTTCAAAAGTGTATGCTTGAGGGGCGGGATGGCCCAAGTGGTTAGAGCGCAAATTTACTGACCGGAAGGTCCGTGGTGGTTCGAACCCGACCTCTGCCTCTCGACTTCCCCTGTCTAGGCTTGGGCAACCTGGCAGTATCCCAGCCCTTGTGCTTCCTTCGGGTGGCATGGCAGC